CTGATGCGTTCCAGCCTGGGTTACATTTGCATAAGTGCAAAAACGCGTAATGAAAGTCGGCTTTTTCTTTTAGAAAAGTAATAACACAGATAAATTAGCATTTTGCATACATTGGAGGGATCCGCTTGAACGGTTAGGAACTATGTGGATGAGGGAAGCCCAAAATAGAGAATGAAAAAATTGCCAACTGCATCAGTGGCGAGATGCAACGTGGCGATGAAACAACTGATCAAAATATCACGGTTCAGTATGTGCTTGTGGTTCGTTGATTTTAGTATGAGTCTGAAAGACAGTACAGTCAGAAGCATAAAACGTGCTAGTTATCACAAAGCGAAGCTCCTTTTTTTACAAAGCGGGTGTTCGTTGATTGATGTGCATGCTACTGCTGCCAGCCCATTCACCCTCACCAGTCATTCTGCTGCCTACCAGACTGCCCAATTCCATTCTTTTTCGGCTCCATCATTTTCAATTTTCATATTTATGGTAGAATTTTTTCAGCTCTTATATTGCTAGACTTCTCAAAGTACTTGATTCTAATCGCTAGGATCATTACCAGTGCCGTTGCAAACTTTCGATCTTTGGTCATCTTGTACAGCTATGCCAGGACCTTTTATCTTGAGCTCCATGCTCGTATTTTGCATCGCTGTCTCTTCTACACGTGTACGGCTTTTCTTCAGAGGCTTTGTTTATTATTATTAACATTTTAATACATTTTAACATGTTGGATAAATTTTTTTCTTCGCTTATTTTTCTACTTTTTGTATTTTCGTTTGATGCTCCGTGTTTTTGTTCACTTCTTCCCGGTATTTTTGTTCATTATCTTCTATTGGCCAATGGTTACAAAAAATGAATTTATACGCAATCATTCCTACACTGTGATTACAGAAATGCGTCGGAATTAATCCACATATATTCAGAAAATCCACGAACTGAATGAAAACACCACTGCTTGCGAATGGCCGCGATATGCAAATTTTCACCTGTAGCTTGGCTTTTGCCAAAATTTCGGACAGGAAAGGGGGATTTCAAATTTCAAACGGCCTCGTTTTCAGGACAAATTTCAAATATCCTCTTTTTCTCGTGCGGGATGGGAAGAGAAGAGTGTTGTAAGATGTAAAATGCAGTTGGCAATTTGCAAAAATCGTCCGAGGTAAATTTTTTTGAGACAAAAATCAATCAAAAAGTGCTAAAAGAAGTAACGTGAGAAGCAGGAACGAGACGTAGTAAATAATTTAAAACGATCCAAACCTCTTGCATTATATGCACTGAATAACTGATCATGCCGTAAAGTGTCCTGACATATAATCTCGAACTCAAGTTTAGATCAACTTAAAAAAAAATGGCTCCTTTGAGTTTCATCAAATATTAAAATTCGACTGTTTTTCCTTTGATGGCCTACACTGCGACCAAATTACACATGTGCCGCAAGAAATGTCTTACCCCGTCTTGCTCCTACTTTTTTTAAAAAGCTATTAATTTCATTATTTTCATTAGCATTTTAGTAGGATTCCAAATTTTCCAGTACTTTGTAACTCCTAGCTTTCGATTTTTGCAACTTCCAGCCTGTGGCAAGCATAGGCCTCTTGATGCGCACCGTTGTTTATTATTGTTCTTATTATTATCGAATTTGCCGTCCCTCTCGGTGGTTCACTGTTCCTCAGGCCACTCTTCGCTATCCCTCAGCCCATTCCTCAACATCCTCCTCCAGTCCTCCATTTTTCATCCCCGGTCCTCCACTCACAAGTGAATACAATTGGATTAGCGACCACCGTGTGGTAACGGCTATAAAAAATGAAAAATTCATTGGCCGGCATGGTGCGGTGGTATCATTTGCTGTTGTGTGGTACAGTGCTAGATCAAGGATTCGACTTCGTCAGTGGGCAAACTAGTCGTTCTACGATTCGGTTATTCGTTTCGATGCTAAATTGGTACTGACATATGCCAAACAGAGTTAGGCATCGTTCCATCAGCTTGCTTATAGGCCAGTCGTGAAAGTGAGGGCAATTGGGAATCTTATCAGTAAGGCTTGTTGAAAGCTCTCACTGTTGAAGATAGCTTACAAGCAAGCTGATGCTGTCGGCATTTGCTACCAATAGGAATACTTCCTGAGCGTCTTTCCTTCATAGACGGGTTCCAAGGGAGAGGAGGGGACGACGGGGTGGGGGAGAGTGGCGCCTTTGGGGGGCGACGAGGGGAAGGGAAAGGAAGATTCCCGAACACCCTGGAACTATGCAAAAACTAGGGATAGAGTTGTAACACTGCTACTTAGAGAGTTACTTTAGGCTTTAGTTTACTTTAGTTTTAGCTTTAGACCCGGACTTTTGCAGCGCTAGTGTAGACCCCGCTTTTGCAGCAAAGACCCGTCACTCCCCCCTCCCCCGTCTCTCTACCTCCCCTGGATCCTCTTATGCTTCCCTTTTCAATTAGTGCGAATGTAGAAGAGGACAAGGGGGGGGAGTTCTAATATTTTTAAAGCGAATTTCAGTAAGTGCCTGCAAAAAAGTCTGTGGATGGGCAGGAAGGCTGAAAGAGGGGAGGAGAGGGGGGAGGAGGGTAGGGAGAGGGGTGGGAGGAAGTAGCAACAAAAGGTGCACTGCCCTGGATGACTCGTATGTAAGTCCAGAGAAGGCAGCAGCCATCCAGAGAATGCTGTAGTGAAGGAGCGCTGCATTGCAGTGAGAATCATTGCCTCCTCTCCCGATTTGCCTGTTTCTAGACCGATACAATGCACTGCTCCCGGTATTTACGTGAGTTCCACGTGGCGTGAGCTTGCGTATAATGTGAGCCGCGGGTAATCTTGGGCAGCTGAATTTGAAATCATTTTGTCATATGCGGGTGGGGG